CACCCGGCAGCATGCGGTGTGTGTGGGGGGGGGGATCCGAGGGCTGGATGCGAACCCCGCCCCCTTCCTCCCTTCTGTCCAGAGCCGCAGGAGTGACGGCTTGGGATGGGGGCGGGGAGGTGGCGGAGGTCCGGGAGGCGGCAGCCTCGGGATCCAGTCTTGAAGCCACTCGGCTGGCCTCTCTTAACTCGGATTGTCCCTCTGTTCGAGGGGTGCGGGCGGCTGGAAACCGCGTCGAAAGCCGGGGTCTCTGTGCGGCCGAAAGCGTCGTGCCACCGGGCCTGACCGTCGAAGGAGCGCAGGGCAGCGCCAGCCTGCAGCCCTGCGCGCGCGTCCCCACGGCGTCAGTAATGCAAAAGAGAGAGAGAGAGAGAGAGAGAGAGAGAGAAAAGAGAAAGGAGAGACCCAACGCTTAATGCAAAAAAGAAAGAAAGAGAGAGAGAGAGAGAGAGAGAGAGAGAGAGAGAGAGAGAGAGAGAAAAGAGAAAGGAGAGACCCAACGCTTAATGCAAAAAAGAAAGAAAGAAAGAGAGAGAGAGAGAGAGAGAGAGAGAGAGAGAGAGAGAAAAGAGAAAGGAGAGACCCAACGCTTAATGCAAAAAAGAAAGAAAGAAAGAGAGAGGAGAGAAAGAAAGAAAAAGAAAGAAAGAGAAAGGAGAGACCCAACGCTTAATGCAAAAAAGAAAGAAAGAAAGAGAGAGAGAGAGAGAGAAAAAAGAGAAAGGAGAGACCCAACGCTTAATGCAAAAAAGAGAGAGAGAGAGAGAAAAGAGAAAGGAGAGACCCAACGCTTAATGCAAAAAAGAAAGAAAGAAAGAGAGAGAGAGAGAGAGAGAGAAAGAAAGAAAGAAAGAAAAAGAAAGAAAGAAAGAGAAAAGAGAAAGGAGAGACCCAAGTTTTGTGTCTGTTGAAGTGGGAAAGTGCTGTGGAAATGAGGTGGCACAACATTGTCGCCAACTGTGAGGCTTTTACTATTTACACATATCCCCTGGCTTTCTCTAATGTTCTTTGCCTTAAATTTTTGAAAATTTTTTATGTATTTTATTTTAAAGACGTAGGTACAATTCAGGATCAGGTATACAAGTGGGCATCGTACTGGTAAAGTTTGGGCCTCCCTTTGGTCCCCACTTTGCCCGGTTTGAGATCAGGTACCCTTATTGATGTTGCCCCCCTCCCCGAGGCCCCGCCCACCCCAGCAGTATCCCGCTACTGCCAATCCCTTTCTTATAGTATTACGATAAATATTCAGGGTCCCCCTATGAGTGAACTTTCTCTAATTTTCTGCAGCTCAATCCAGCTAGGCCCTTGACTGCCCTGAATGAGTCACCTCTGTGTGTCAGTGTGTCCCTTCTGAGAGCTTGCCTGATATGTCGGGTGGACACTCTTCCGATGGGCCGCTTCGCCCACCCTGCCTCCTGCATGCTGGCCCGTCCGGCTGGACATGAAGATGGTCACCAATACCTCCTTCACCTGCTGGGGGTCCCCACGTGCGCAACTTTTGAAAGGCATCCTTCGAAAAGCTTTTGAGATTGGGTAAAGCTAAGGTTTCCAAGTTCGGCGGTGGGCCCTGGTGAATGACTTGCTTCCAGGACAGCTCGCTGTGATGTGCTGAATAAAGTAATGCTGGTTGGCTCATTTCTCTGTGTTCCCGTGGGTTCCTGTTACAGGGTGTGTGGCTAGTTTGTTTAAAGTTTAATTTTCCCTGTCTCAAAGTGGAAAGGGCTTAATGTCACATCTGTAATTCTCCAATATGCTTTTGTTAGTAACAGTTGCATGATTATGTTGGTGTTCATATGCGAGTTTTGAGCAACATAAAATCATCTTCCTTTTCAGTCCTATAGATAAAGCCTCCTCAAATGTTGACTAAAATGCTTCCTTTCTGAATATGGAAATGAAACTATCATTGAGTGAAAATCCTAAGGGATTAATAGCTTTTTATCTCCTTTTTGTCTTTACCTAAGAATTGTTGTATTTACACTGAGGCTCAGAGGGGCTAAATGACTTGCCTAAGTTCACAAAAGTGTCAAGTCATAGAGCCAGGATTGGAAACTAAACTGCATCTTGGTTTTTTACGCTATACCCTGCTACCTTTTAACTCAGTGGTTTTAAACCTTTTTTTTTTTTTTTTTAATGATTTGATGAAATTCTTAGTTTCTTTCCAGGAGAAAATACCTATATCCACATATACAAAATTTTGCATGTAATTTCGGGGTCCATTTATTCTCTGAAGTCCTTCCCAGAGCTGCCTCTCATCTCTGCTCTAACAATTCTAAATGAGGCAGAAAGCATATATGTACCACATGTACATATGCATGTATGTATGTATATATACTCTTTCACTAATAGGAACAGCCCTTGAATTTGGTGACTTTCAACTAGGTGAAAATTCACTTAACAATTGAAACACAGAAACATGGCATCTTCCATGCAAATTGATTCTGTTAATGTCTCAAATGCAGTTTGGAACAATGGTGTTTGTTTGAAACCAGAACTTCTATTGGGGCTTCTTCCTGCAGTATCCTGCACTAGCAAAGAATAAGGACTTGTGCCTTTGCTCAGTAAATATACATTTTTTTTCTCCCTAGAGATGGCAAATCCTGAGGTGATTATAAGTACGTGCAGCTCTCACGAAGAGGAAAATCACTGTAGTTTTAACCAGCATTCATCTCCGTCTGAGGAGCTTCTCCTAGAGGAACAGATGAGGCGAAAACTCAAATTTTTTTTCATGAATCCTTGTGAGAAGTTCTGGGCTCGAGGTAGAAAGCCATGGAAACTTGCCATCCAAATTCTAAAAATTGCAATGGTGACTATCCAGGTGAGCATCTCAGGTCATGAGTTTGGTGAAAGCCTCTTTTAACAACAAAGAGAACTGCAGACAGTGGGGTGTTTTTCATTTGCTTATTTAATAACTTTTAACTATATTCTATAATGGAGAACCATAAAAATAAGGAAACATACTATCTTAAACCCTTCTGTCTTCAATATTTGTGAAAAACTGGCTTTTTTCTTACTTTTTTTCTTCTCATCTTTTATTAAGTTATAATAATCTAATTAGTTTTCAGGAAAAAAAATTTAATATATGACTTCCAATCAAGAGGTTTAGTTGAATGTCCACATGAAGACATTAATCTCCTTCCTAGTTAGTTTCCTGGGAATTTCTCTGCCTCCAGAAACTTCAAGGGTTTCTGTTACAGGCAAGTTCTTAGATTCTCCAAGCCCCGCGATCCTGAGAACCATCCAGTGGAAGAATGTGGAGGTAGCTCACAGAAGAGTAGCAGGAGGAGCTAGTAACACATGTCCTTTTAGTACAAAGGGACATTTTGAATTTCATTTCCTTGCCCGCTTTTAACATTTTTTGGGGGAAACTACCTTTTGTTTTTTGGAGTTGGAGACTTACTCCATCGCCTAGGTTGGAGTGCAGTGGCACACTCATAGCCAACCCAGTGTCAACCTGCTGGGCTCTGGCAATCCTTCCACCTCAGCCTTCCAAGTAGCTGGAGCTACAGGTGCATGCTACCGCTCCTGGCTCATTTTTGATTATTATTGTAGAGACGAATTCTTGCCAAGTTGCCTGGGCAGGTCTCACCCACAGGCTCAGGCAATCTGCTTGCCTCAGCCTCCCGAAGTGCTGGGATTACAGGCTGAGCCACTGAGCCCAGCCTATTTTGTGATTCTTAAATATACTGGTTGTGATTTATTCCTATAAAAATATGTTTTCCTGCTGGTGAGAGTAATTATCTCTTGTTAAAATCGAAAGCGGGCCAGGTGTGGTGGCTCATGCCTGTAATCCTAGCACTTTGGGAGGCCAAGGTGAGAGGATTGCCTGAGACCAGGAGTTTGGGAACAGCCTGAGTAACGTTGCGAGACCTTGTCTCTTTAAAAAAAAAAAAAAAAGCAGATTTTAATGAGGAAAAAATAGACGTGCTAGGTTTATTTTTATTGTTACTCTTCTCAACATGGTGAAAAATGCATAGGTAAATAAACAGCTAGTATTTGATTTAAAAAAATACCTTGTTATTACTGATTTTAACTGCTTAATGAAAGCAAATACTTATGACTGTTAGAAGCTAAGGCAATTTCTACAATCATATGAAACTGGTAGAATTCTTGCTTAAGTTTCTAATGCTAATTGTAGTGGCAGGAAACAAACATTCGGCGACTACTTTATTCTGGTACATGATTTCATTGAATTCTAACAACATTCTTCTTGGGTAAATACTAGTATTTCTCATTTTACAGAGGAGGAAGCTGATATTGATAGAGTTCTTTAAAAGTCACATGGCTAGTTGGTGGCAAAGTGAAGACTTTGGAGGCAAGCACTCTCTCTGTTGTCACCCTGAAAATGGATGTTGAATTCTCGATGGTATTTAGCCAGTTAGAACTGAAATTCTTCATTTCCAGTTGATAACACAGTGTGTCACAACAGGGAAAAGTTTATGTGTCTTATTTCTTATAAAGAGGACAATCTGTATCAGTTGAACATGAATATTTTCTACTTAGAATAATAATAGATACCACTGAGTGTTTGCTATGCTAAACATTTTAAAAACATCTTCATGTTCAATTCCTAAAACAAGTTAGTGGTAGACAGTAGGATCCTCATTTCACACATGAGAACACTGAGGCTTAGCAAGTTAAAGTACCTCATCATAGTAAGGAAACTGGGAGAGTAGAAATGAGAGTCAGACTCAGATTTATTTTCTCTAAGATTTATGTTCTTAATTACTCCTTAATTTTAGGAAGCTCTTCCAGCCTTCCTGAGTTTACTAGAGTGGTCAAGAGGAAAACTGACCAATAGCTTAAGATATTAAGGATGCTAGTAATAAGTATGTAAAAAGTGTTTAGGTAAGTTTTTAAAAGGAGCTGAACTGGGCACAGTGACTCACGTCTGTGATCTCAGCACTTTGGGAGGCCGAGACAGGAGGATTGCTTGAGCTCAGGAGTTCAACCCAGCCTGGGTAATATTGCGAGACTTTGTCTTTACAAAAAAAATTAGAAAATTTAGCTGGATGTGGTGGCTCACTGCTGTAGTCCCAGGTACTTGGGAGACTGAGACCGAAGGATCACCTGAGTCCAGGAGGGAAAAAAAAGGAGCTAAGGGTTTCTTGTGATGCTGAACAAACAAATATTAGATAAAGACAATTTTGTAATTGAGCAAATGAGGCTGACTTAGGGTTATTTAGCGAGATTATCTCTTTTCAGGGAAAAAAGTTGGTCTTTCTATTAAGTTGGAGATTTTGTGTTTGCAGCAACACAAGAAGGGTATCTACGCTGATAGGTATTGATATTAAATATTCCCTTTTTCCCACTACCTGGCTTCCTCTCTGAATTACAGCAGTTCTTTCTTTGCCATTGTTACCCCCTATCTGTCGCTGCCACTAAGCCTTTGAGGGCAGGCACCAATGGTCTTCTCATTGTAGGCTCAGTCCCTAGCTCAGTGCTGACATGTGGCTGGTACTCATGGATTTGAATGATTGGTAAGAATACAAGGAAGGGACCCAAAAACCCTCCAGAATTTATTTATAAAACATCACATCTATTCTTACATGCTTGAACTTCATTCACTTTCAAAGTACTCTCCATCTGATTCAATAAGCCAATTAAGATGCTTTTTCCACTGCTCAATTTGAAGTCATAAATTTTGATGCCTTTTCGTGCTGCTGCCATTTTTTGTTTCGCCTCTTCCGCATCAGCAAATGTTTCCCTCTGAGGACTTTTTTAAATCTGGGAAAGTAAACAAACAAACAAACAAACAAAAGATGCTTGGGGTCATGCTGATTTTGGTTAAAAACTGTTGAACACTCAAACCGGTGGAGACAGGTTGTTTGTGTAAATCACCCATCATGAAATGGGCCAAAGGCATTGAAAGAATCTCCAAAATAAAATTAACTGAAGCCTAACACAGCGTCTCCCAACAACGCTAGCTGGTACACTGATGCTGATGGGTTCATAGAACTCTTACCTAGGGATGAAGCCTATACAAGATAATTCAGGTTTTTTTTGGGGGGGGAGGGGTTCCTCTCTATCTTTAGGGATTCTTTGGAGACGTTTTGGTCATAACTTCAATAGATGTAAAGTCCCTAGAATATCAAGGTATCATCTTATTAGGATGTAAAAAAGGACACCTAACTTCAAGAGACTCTTCAGAAATGTGGAGAGTGGTGACAGGTGTAGGTACAGGCCCTACAATCCAGGTGGAGTGGAGAGGCGAAAAGATTTGTCTACTCTCTCTATTTTTTTCTGATCCAAACTTGGATTACTTTGTGTAGTATGACGGGGTTGAGTAGAGCCTGGATTTAGTCTGTCAGACATGGGCTCCAATTTTGACTATCTAAACACTGGCTAGTGATGTGACTTGAAAAAATTATTTTGCTTCTCTGAGTCTCTGAGCCTCATCTATAAAATTGTTGTATTGGAACTATCCTGCAGGGCTAGTGTGCAGAAAACTCCTGGAATAGCGTATGACACATAAAATACATCCCACCTCACTCTGGTATCCATTTTTTTTTTTGAATTGGAGTCTCACTCTGTCGCCCAGACTGGAGTGCAGTGGCCGCTCCCGGCCACCGCAGCCTCGACCTGCTGGGCTCCGGCGATCCTTCCGCCTCAGCCTTCCGAGTAGCTGGAATTACAGGCGTGCACTACCACGCCCGGCTGATTTTTTTATTTATTGTAGAGAAGAGGTTCGCCTGCCCAGGCGGGTCTCGAACCCGTGGGCTCAGGCAATCCACTCACCTCAGCCTCCCAAAGGCGCGGGATTACAGGCTGAGCCACCGAGCCTGGCTCACTCTGGGATCTAAATCAGAGTGTAGTTTCTAAACTTATTGTGTGTGTGTGTGTGTGTGTGTGTGTGTGTGTGTGTGTGTGTGTGTGTGTGTCTATGAGAGAGAGAGAGAGAGAAAGGCGGGCAGGACTTGGAAGGGAAAAGAAGACAAAAGAGACTTGGAGTAAAGCAAGTTTTTAGGTATAATTGAAAGGCCTGGTGTTAACGGGCTGGCAGTGCTGTGAAACAACTTTTGTGTGTGTGAACAACTGAGTTTTCACGTAAAACTCTGAGGTCAATCCTGCATGAATATTAAGGACACATTGTGTTAATATATTTTAACCTAGAAATGAGTTGAAAGAATATTTTCATTTTTGTTCTTACTGTCACGTCTTTGGTAATTAGTCCTTGGAATATGATTTGGCAATAGGACTTGGACGTTCTTACAATGTATTATTTACCTGTGGCAGGACCTTCTGGATGTCTTAAAGAATTCGCTTTAAACTTCTATTTGCCGTTCAAGCACCTGTGCCGTCTTCTTCCACTTTTTTCTGCTCACATTTTCCACCCTCTTACCACTTCTCTTTTTCTTTTAAGCTGGTCTTTTTTGGGCTAAGTAACCAGATGGTGGTGGCTTTCAAGGAAGAGAACACAATAGCGTTCAAGCACCTCTTCCTAAAAGGATACGTGGACCGGATGGATGACACGTATGCAGTATACACACAAGGCGATGTATACGATCAGATCATCTTTGCAGTGAACCAGGTAAACCAAGCATGCACACTTTTAACTTGGAGATGAGAACAAACTAGAAGATGGTGGCAATGTGCAGAATAGAAACTGATGTTCAAATGTAGAAGGTTGAATATTTCTGCTTGGAGATGACATGAAGCAAACCCTTTCTAAATTGTTTTTTTAAAAATATTGTCAACAGACTTGCAAAACTAGAAATGGAGAAAAGCTTTTGTTTAGAAACAAAGAGCCAGAGACTTTACAGATTTAATTAAAAGTATCAGAGCTAGGGCTTCTCATGGAAGCCTCAAATATTTAAA